CCCCCCCCCCCCCCCCCCCGCCATGCAACACATAGAGCAGTGGGTCAACGTGTCCTGCTGCAATGCATGCAGGCAGGGGCATGTAGTGTGGCACAAATTGTGCCACTACTATTTGTGCTGCTGCAAAGGCATGCCCCTGGTCATGTAGACCTGGCTTTATTGTCTTTAACCTCCTGTGCCAAGTGCAGCTCTTTCTTTTTCCTTGCCTTTCTGATTTTGTCCCTGCAAGTTCTTGCTATTTTTTGTTAAGCTTCCTTAGTGGCCTGGCCATTTTCTCACTGCCTGTGTTTCTTTTTTTGCATTTAAGGCATCCTAGATGCTTCCTGTGCAGCTACATTGGTCTCTTGCTTTTCTTATACTTTCATCATTTCAGTAGTTTCTTGTTTGGCTTCCAGTACTGTACCTTTTAGAAGCTCACAGCCATCCTGGGTGTCAACTTCCTTTAATCTGTCTTCCCATGGCCTATTAATTCCTTGTCTCAAGTGAAATCCACCTTCTGGAAATTTAGCTCTAGTGTCTTAGTGTTGTGGACCTCATGCTCTTTCTGTCTCAGGATCTGGAATTGTCATATTGTGATTGCTTCCGTTCAAGTTGGCCATCACCTCCACATCCTCCACCAGTTTTTCCCAATTGGTCAGGACAGGATCCAAGATAATTGATCGTTTAGTTGTTTCCTCAGCCTTCTGGAACAGAAAGTTGTCTTCCACACAAGTTAAGAATTGGCTCTACATTTTATGTTTGGCTATATTATTCTTCCAGCTGATGCCCAGAAAACTGAAGTCTCCCATCAGGCACACAACCCATGACTTTTGGATATATTTATCACCTTGAATACCTTGTCCACCTCCTCTTCCTGACTTAGTAGCCTATAATAAATCCCCACTATTAGATCAGTACTGTATCTTTCACCTTTCACCTTCACCCAAATGCATTCTGCTCTACTCTCTTCCTCCTGAACTAAACCCCAAATGTATGCATTTTTGATATACCAGGTTGTCACAGCCCCGGAGCTGGCGAGCCAAGCTCACGGTCGTGGTCACGGTGGGCCGGCCGGGTGGTGGCAATTGGAGCGGACAGGCGGGAGTTTTTGGCAATGGAGTACTGAGCGGCACGGAAGCGTGATGGTTTCTTAAATAAGAGGGTTTATTCAACTTACGCTTTTGAGGCGTAGGCAACGTAATTCTTCAGTTACAGTGGTGTGACGAACGAACAACAACACAGGGGTCCGTTGGTCCACAGGGTGCTTGAGCCAAGCCCTTGCTATCTAACCCGGAGGCTAGGGGCGGCTGCCTGGCTCAATGGTCCTAGGACTGGTCAACGGCTCATAAAAGGAGTGAACTAACATACAGTACAACGAACTGTAACTTGTTGAATATAGCCAGGTGTGACGCCAGTCCCGAAGGACGATCGGATAGCTGAGGTGATTTCCGAGGTTGAAAGCCAGGTAAGTCGTCGTCAGTGTTTTGAGGGTGATCCGAAAGCGAAGTCAGAGTCCAAGCCAGAACAGTCCAGTAACCAGAGAATCAATCAATGCAACCAGACTGAGGTACGAAAAGCAGCGAGAGCCCACACTGGAGGAGACCTAACTGAGGGACAGTCCCTACGGAGTAGCCTCTGTCCTCAGTTGAACGGATCTCCCCCCATCTCCCCCCGAGGGAGGGGCTCCTTAACCTTTTATAACAATTTGGTGGCCAATTAGAATGTGTCCCTCAAAGAACTTTCTAGCCGAATGACATCATGCTCTTAGCTGACTGAGCATGTGTGAGCCTGAGCTCTCCACTGTTACCAAGCATGCGCAGGGCTGAAAAGTAGGTCAGCCTGACTGACAGCTCTTGGGGTCGCCCAGGGGACACATGCTGGGTGAGTCCAATGGAAAATTCCATGAGCCTGTCTTGTGCATGTCAGCTTTAATTCTCTCGGCATTGGCAGCATTCAATCAAAATTTTCCTTGACACAGGTGACACCACCACCTTTTCTCCCAAGTTGAACCCTTGATCTTGACATTCCAGTCACAAGAGCTGTCCCATGAAGTCTCTGTAATGCCAGTCGGGTCATAGTTATTTTCACAGGCTGTGGCTTCTAGCTCATCTTGTTATCTTTGTATACATACACTGGAAACATTTTGTGTTTTGATTTGCATGCTTCCTCTTTGCACCACTTGCTGTCCTGTGGCTCCCTGGCTGTTTCCCGGAGTTGAGCAGCTGCTGCTTCTGTTCTTGTCCCTTCAAGATTGTTGTTCTGGATTTGAAAATGGTTACAAATCCCCTTCGGTCTTCTCTTATCTTCTCCAGACTAAATAACCCTGGCTCTTTTTAGCTTGTCGTTATAAGTCTTGCCTCTGAGGCACCTAATCATTTTTGCTGGTCTGTGCTGGACTCTTTTGAAAACATCCATATCCTTCTGGAAGTGCAGGGCCCAAAAGTGGCCACATTACAACAGGTAAGACTGCACCAGTGGTGAATAGAGTGGAAGAATTACTTCCCTTGATTTGTAAGTGACACTTCTGTTACTACAACACAGTATGCTGCTGGGTTTTTTTTTCCAATAAGAGCACACTGTTCAGCTTATGTAACCCCTCAGGTCCTTTTCTTCAGTACTTCAGCCTAGCCAGTTATTGCCTTAATATAGCAATCCATCCTTGGTGAATGACATATCCTACTTTCTCTAAGAGAAGCAAATTTCTGTTTGTATAATTTGCCACTTCTGCTGGGTTTTTTTTATTGAGCTGTGTTCGTGTATGCTTGTTTTTAGCCCCGTGAGTTTTCTAAGTAAAAAAAAAAAAAAAAAAAAGTGTGGCATTTATCATCTTATACATATATTGTACTATAATATGTAATGTGTTATTTAAATTCAAGTTTCCTTTTCCACAATGCGCAAAGTACAATTTCCTTCTTTCTTGGAATCAGAAGTATAACTGATGGGATGCATGTTGTCCAAACTCACAAATTACATTTGTAGCATCTGTAAAAGGGAAGGGGGAACTGCTGCTAGGAAGCATACAGGTCAGCACCCCTCCCCCCACCTCCCTGCAACAGCTCACCAAAACTCCCTAAGTGGATGGGATGGGACTGAGCTGTGGGCAGGTGGGGAGCAGAATCTGAGAGCCAGGGCAGCTGGGGCCAGGGCTGAGATCACAGGGTTGGATTGTGGGGCCATGAAAGCACAGGGCAGACCTGTGATCCACTCCCCATGCCCCTGCAATGGAGGCTGGTTCCGTAGGCAGGAGTGTGCAGGGAGCAGATCACGGCTCAGCCCCGGGCCCTGGCCCCATGCTGTCATGGTCCCATGATCCTGGGGTGTCCATGGAGACCAGCCAGGACCTGTATAGGCAGGGTGTGCAGTCAGGTGGATGGGATGGGGCCATGGGTGGGTGGGGAGCAGCATTCCACTCCCAGCCGCTGCTGCCTGCTCACCTGTGGCCCCATCCCATCCTCCTGGCCACATGCCCTGCCTGTGTTGGTCCTGGGCCGGTCTCCATGGAGACTGTGCCTACCTACTCCCTTGTGTCCCCCCCCCCCCCCCCCCCCCCCC